CTCTGATCTTTAAGGGCATCCACATATAGACACACATGCATAGTTAAAAATGATAAAATAAAAACTTTAAATGTAAAATCTACAAATGAGTGAAAACACCCAATATTTACCTTATTATGTCTTGCTTACTTCACATTTTTAAAGCTTTTTTGTTGTTTTAATTAAAATATTTTGTTTAATTTTCATACATTAACATTTTTGTTACATCTTTTCTAGCCATTCTTCTCCCTGCACAACTACTCCCACTTTTGAATTTCCCTCCAAAATTCATGACCTGTTTTTGTTATATATATATATATATATATATATATATATATATGTCTTCTTCGTCCATTTAGCTGCTCATACATTTATGTGTGTAGGGGTGACTATTGGGAACTGGATAACCAACCTATCAGGGACTCATACCTGATGAAGAATGATCCTCCCTCTCATCAGTCATTAATTGCCTATAGCTTCCCATCTAGGGGTGGGACCTTATGATATTGCCCCATTCCTGTTAGGATGTCAGCTGGTTCTGTCATTTGATGGACTTATTTAGACAGCCAGACAGTTGAGAATTCACATGTGTGGCATCTCTGTCTTATGTGTAAACCATTATTTTGTAGGAAATAGTTGTTTCTTTGCAAAAGTCAAAAACCCTTCCCCAAACTAACTAAAAGACACAAAGAGTATATCCAAATTAACAAAATCAGAAACAAAAGGGGGACATAAAAATAGATATCTAGGAAATCCAAAGAACCATTAGGTCATGCTTCAAAAAAAACTATAATTCACAAAATTGGAAAATCTAAAAGAAATAAATAATTTTCTCCATAGATACCACTTACAAAATATAAGTCAAGATCAGATAAACAATTTAAAGAGACCTGTAACCCCTAAGGAACTAGAAGCAGTCATTAAAAGTCTCCCAACCAAAAAAGTCCCAGGGCCAGATGGTTTTAGTGCAAAATTCTACCAGACTTTCAAAGAGCTAATACCAATACTCCTCAAATTATTTCACAAAAATAGAAACAGAAGGAAAACTGCCAAATTAATTTTACAAGGCCATAGTCACACTGATGCCCAAACATGTGGATACTTGATTTTTTATAAAGAAACCAGAAATACATAATGGAAAAAAGAAAGCATCTTTGCTAAATGGTATCATTCTAACTGGATGTACAAAAATGCAAATGTATACATATGGTGGTTTCTCAGAAAGATTGGAATCAAATTACCTCAAGCCACAGCTATACCACTCTGTGGCATTTACCCTAAGGATGCTCTATCATACCACAAGGACACTTGCTCAACTATGTTCATAGAAGCTCTATTCATATCCAGCTTCTAGTAACAGCCTAAGTGTCCCTCAACTGAAGAACAGATAAAGAAAATATAGAACATTTAAACAAAGGAGTATTACTCTGCTATTAAAAATAACCATAAAGTTTG